TATTAATTACTTTTTATAAAAGTAATTTATATTTATCGTACTTTTATTATTTATATATTCATAAACAATACAATGTATTAAATAACAATCAAGTATTTTTCAAAAATGTATCGAACAGACTACTAAGCAATCTTTGAAAATTTTGAGATAACGTTATGAAAAAAATGTAAATCAGAGTACATAAGAAAAGGATAAATCAAAGATTAAAGTTAATATTTTTTTCTAATCTTATTATAAAATTGAATCTATTAAATCTTTATAGCCAGAGAAAGAGAAATGTCGAGAATATAATTTTTCATACGTTTAACGCTACGATTCTTTCAGCATTATCAGCATATGAAATAGAAGCGTATCTATGTCTGAATGAATCAATTATCTTAGCACGCATAAATTAGATAGATGTAGTTATTTTGACGTAAAGAATATTGCGCACTGTAATTTTTTTTTCTTTTTCTTTAGGCAAAGATACCGAAGCAGGCGCGAAGTAACGGCTGTGGGTTGTAAAATAAACAGTGCAGATTTATTGCGAGGGTATGGAAGAAACGTGCACGTCTCCGAACGAATGCGTTTCTAAGTTCCTCGTTTTAACGAGCGTATTAAGTACATAACGGGGCCTTCTAGTCGCGAATCGCTATCGGTGTATCGCGATGAGCACACTCGATAGTTACGCGACCAACTGAAGAGCGTTCAACGCGATAAAGCTGATCTCCAATTCCGTGTTCACGAAGCGGAAAGAATTGACTAATAAGACGCTTTTTTTGTATAATAATAAAGATGATTTCTAAAAAAATCCTGAGCGTCATCAAATTAAAATAGATAAAATACATAGAATAATTTAGATGTATAAGAAACTACTCTTATTAACTTTACAGAAAAAAATGAAAGCCCATATCTATTACATATGATGAAAATTTATAAAAAGTATTAGAACATTTATATTTCACAATTTTATTTTATTTGTGAATTTCTTATCGCGTTACTTTCGATTGATTCATATTAGAAGAATATAATTATAACAAGCAAGTGTATGTATCTTTATTAATAAATAATTGTTACTTCATGACACATAAAGTAAAAGAAATTTCGAGTTATAATAAGAGTGGCATCGAAAAGTTATTTTTTTATAAATATAGATAAGTTTATGTTTCTCGTGCAAGTTCATTGTTCGTAAACATCAAATTTCAAATTGTAATATGTATAATAACATAATAACTCTTAAATGTAATTGTATACGTGTTTAATAAAGTCACGTTTAGAAAAGTCATCTTTTATCCTAGAAATTATGATACTAGATTTAATGATCTAATCCCCAGACAGGATCTGCAATGCAACTGTACTACATAGTCTACGTTCCTTCCGTCCAATATTCATCTTTGAAAGAAAGTGCACTTCGTTTCGCGGAGCGATAACTCACGCATCGTCGCGCATACATACGGGGAACCAACCTCCGCCACCACCATCACTACCACCACCACTACCATCATCATCATCATCATCATCATCATCATCATCATCATCATCATCATCGTCCTCGAATAGACAAGAGACGGGGGGAAAAGCGCCAAGGTACTGGAGTAAACGCATCATCCCGTCCCAAGCGCTCGCAATTAAGGGTTAATTAAATTGAGCGGCTTCCTAGATTTCTGTAATCATCGCGGACAGTATCTACGGGGTAATCTTCAGCGCATCCTGTCTGCCTCGAGGGCCCCACGGAAGGAAGGGGCCCCGAGGTAAGGTCATGCACCCCGCTGACCTCGGACCATCGTCTCTTCTCTTCCTTCTCTCTCTCTCTCTCTCTCTCTCTCTCTCTCTCTCTCTCTCTCTCTCTCTTCCTCTTTCCCGCCCCTCCTCTCATTGCTCCATCACCTTCATTCCTCCTCGTTCCTCTCCTCGCACGCCTTCAACCCTCTCCCCTCCATCATCCACGACCTCTCGCCTCTTTCTCCTCCCGTTGCTGCTGTTGCTGTTGCCGTTGCTGCTGTTGCTGCTGCCGCTCCTGCTGGTGGTACCGGTAATCCCCCTCCCCCCCTTATCCTCGTCATCCTTTCCCTCCGCGGCCCTTGGCCCTTCATGCACTTTTCTTTTCTTCGCTCTCTTCTTCGTCTTCTACTTCTTAGACTTCTTCTTCTTCTTCTTCTTCTTCTGCTTCTTTCATCCTCTTTCTCTACTCTTTTTCTTTCCCTCTTTCCTTCTCGGGAATCTTTCGTGCGAACGTATATGGCAGAAACCAGGTGAGTGTACATAGAGTTACGTGCCCCGCGCTCGCGAGCGACTCGAATTATTATCAAAGACTGGGGCATCATCGCGGATAATAAGCGGATGTCGCTTTGACAGGACAGAAAATGCGACGTCTTTTCTACGCTTCTCGTGCCTACGTTCCTGTGGGAAAAACTGTGCCGCGGACAGAAGAGTTGCCTGCTCTCGTGCGAATAATCATGCGCGAGCTTCTCTTTCGTGAAGTACAACGTGCCTCACGATATTCGAGAATGTGCCTTTAGGAAGTCATGCACTTTCTGCGATTCATATATGAAAGAGGCCAAATCAAAATGAAGGACAGTTGTTCCGGTCTCAAGACTTCGATAATTTGTAATAAAAAATAGTGAGAAATTATTTAAGTGATTTAAGGAATTACGGTTTAAAAATAAAGCAAGCTTATACATTTGCCTTTCATATAGAGATTAAATTACCAAGATTTTGATTCTAGAGATATCCTAAAATCAGTATTAAATTTTTAAAGTTGTATTCGCAAAATAAAAATAAAGTAATTTCAAAATATGAAACCTTGCGATCATTAAATAGATCTATCTTGAGAGCATAATGTGAAACAAGATTAAAATGACAGCAGCATTCAAAACAAATGTGCGAAATAATACATATTTCCTGTATTATTTTAACAATGTATTCTTTTGTCTTTTTATTATTATTAACACTAGAATCGCTGATGATATCCCATTAGAAATTGCTGAAGGTATCAATTTGATAATTTCCTATCTTTGGTTAGTGATAAGTTATTTTGATATTATTTGTAGAATTATTTGTAGAATTTGTAGAATTATATATTATTTGTAGAATTATTTATATTATATTCATCCTGCATAATATTTTGTATTGCATATCTAATACAAAAATTAAAGAAAAAATTAATTAGTAGAGTCAAAATGATACCATTATTGGTTCTATAAGTATTAATATAATATGCTATTCTAACTGACTTGACTTTACTCTAAAAGTGCACAGAATGATGAGACTTCAATTAAGAGTTGGAAAGCTAACAAATCAATTCAATTTCTTGCTTATAATCTTGCTATGTCTCGTATATTTTTTCTTGGCGTCACTGAATCATTGATTTCTGTTTGCATTTCTCGTCAATATCCATCATATCCATGCAAGTCGATGCGTGCGGCTGATACGCGTAAAAACGCGTGATTTACCGGATTTACGATCGCGATGCGGCGCGGCGCGAGCACACTCCGGGGCAGACGGACAGCCACGTCTCGGACGGAAGTGGTTGTACACCTGGGCAGGCTGAGAGAGCCGATGACCAGCGAGAGAACGCGTTCCTCTTCTCCTCGTGCGCGCGGCGGAACAAGGTCAGATGTTATCGCGCGCGGCGCGAGTAGCCAAGTTTAAGAGCGGAGAAACGTGGAATCGCGGGCGGGGATAAGGCGTGGGAACCTTTCCGGCCTTTCCACAAGCTGCAATTAAAAGTTCCTGCCGCGGCAAAGCGCGCCGAAAGCCATGTTTCCAAACATGACGTCCTCAGGTGTAGACATTTCCGAAATAAAATATGTATATATATTCAGAATCACCAAGTTAATTTGAAGATCTAATAGTCGCGAATATCTAACATTCGTATATAATCAATAAACTTGTAACAAAAGTGATTAACTATATTTATAGAAATAATCCTATGTATATAAATAACGCGCATAATATATTATTAAATTAAATATTAAAATTATATCGCAATTGAAAATTCCTCTGAATCAGAATTGAAGATATCTTTATCTCTTGTAATTATCGCCTAAAATAAGTGTACAATATATAACAATATGTAATTCTAAATATTTAAATTGTGTTGCGCATTATTATATATAATATATATAATTCAGAAATTCCACAGCTCGATCATAATATCAAGAATCAGAAATGGGAGCTTGATATGCGGACCGTGTGACGGAGAGTTTAACGGGTGATCACAGCGAGTCGCGAATATATCATCGGATCGATACTTTGTCGACGACGTTTCTCCGAATATTACAATCAAGTAAGAAGTTTCGTAATGGATAATAATCATAAAAGACAGAGACGAAGTTGTTCCTTGAATAAACTGTAAAACAAAATCGAATTTAATATAAATTTTCCCTTTAATAATACTTGCTTTAAATTAAATCACAAAACATACGTTTATTTCCAGAAAACAATACAACGAACAAAGAGATATTTTCGTCATCATGCACTTTGATCTTAACGCGTGTATAAGTACAAAAGGTTGTGCTATTTTCAACATCCATTCAAGATTCCATATATCAGAGAAACATCGTCTGGTCATGACTTTTAGTGTTTTTATTGCAAAAAGCGCGCTACAGAAGATCTCAAGAAAAAAATATCGCAAGCGCCTAATTTTCTATATTCCATATTTTGTCTTTAATATTTTTTCTACATGTTTAAACATTTTTATTTTAATATTTAATATAATTTTATTATGTCAGATTTTAATTTCAATAAAAAAACAAAAATTTATTTTGAATTTACATTAAAATATAAAATAAAAGTTATAAATAATACGTTAAATAATGAAAGTATCGTATTAGAACATTTTATTAAACAAACAATTGGATTAATATATTTCTGAAATTAAAAAAAAAAATTGGAACTTGTAATATTTTTCTTTGAGAACTTCGAGTTTTGCCGTCAAGATATTTCGGCGATCTCGATGTAATCACCAGTGGAGATCAATCGCTAATAAATTCGTAGAAAGGGTTCAGTACAGTGCATACCTTCCCGGCGCATGCCCATCTTCAGGCACTTTTTCAAACGGCAAAACTGGCACTGGTTTCTATGGTGTTGGTCGATCGGACAATTTCTAGTCCCTCGACACGAGTACGTTAGGTTTCGCCTCACACTCCTCTTGAAAAAACTCTTGCATCCTGAAAAAAAGAATGAAAATATTTAAATTTAAATTCAATTTCGATCAAATATTTAAATGATTCTAAATCCACTTCAAAATATTAATATTAATTTTTCGTATTTTAATACTCGAGACACTATCGTATTTCTTAATGATAATTTATATATGAATATTTTTTTTATTCGCTGTCGTGGAACGAATTCTTATTGAAATGTCCTCATTATAAAAAAATCTATTTCCTCTTATAAATTCTCTCTACAGCCAATTTAGATTTTAATATATCAATCATACTTTCTCCATTAATGTCATGTACGATTAGATATCTCACAAGACCAATCTTCTGGCATAAAAACATTAACTACTTCGACAGCAAAAATATATTTCCCTATGTTCGCGTTAATTCACGCGTGAACATACAATACATGTAATAACGAAAGACAGCACGATCGGCACTTGAAAAGTGCACGATCGGCACATAAAAGATAAGCGATTAGCTACCACGTGCTGAAATCAAGATCCATCCGAGTACGTAGAAGGATACGCAGATTCTTATTGATAGAGCGTGTACGAGCAACCATAAACGTGACGGGATTAATGCTTATGGAACGGCACAGTAAGTTTCTCTTGTTTATTGGATACATCTCTCGGCGCACGTAAACGTGTACGTGGAACGACAAGATTGCGTAGCGCGAGCAGAAGGAACGAGGAGAGAAGAACAGAAAGGTGGATAGAGAACGATGGGGAGGGCTTGGACCGATGATACGTGATTACGCAAATTCTGTAACATGTACGTTGCAACGAGACCGATGCACCTTGAGGTCAACGTAAGGAGCGCGGATTTAAGTTACGGCGGATGCACGATCTGGCACAATGGTGGCCGCACACACGCGCGACGCTTGATATAGACAGATACTTGGCTGCCTCCTTACAGGAATGAGAAGCCAACAGAGTCGAAAGTGCCGACGGACTTGATCACGAAAATCCTATTAGTAGCTGCCCCGCTGAGATCGAGTACTCCGCGCGCGCGAGCACTCTCTCTCTCTCTCTCTCTCTCTCTCTCTCTCTCTCTGTTTCGCCGCATTACTCTGTACTGGCGATCCGCGTTTTCGCCGCATTATTCCGGATTTATATCCGGATACTCTGGAGTTGATGATCTCGAGAATTTCGCGAAATGCACAATTTAGTAAGATTTTCTCCAAACTACGCGAAAAGAAGGTTCTGCTGAAATATCTAAAAATTTAATTAGATACTTATAGTGAAATATTAAGAAAGAATTGGTTTGAAATCTATCTCTCAGATTAAATAGTTTAATGTTATTTATAAGTTCATAGTATGTGCAATCAATTAGATGTCAGTCTAATTGATTTGGTCGAGCATTTAAATGATTTGAATGTGCATATTTACATAATCTATTCTTTGACAACTCTTTATTAAATTTGACACTATTTAAGATCTAAAAATTTTGTTTATCGAAATAATTATGTAGGACCTCTTCATGCTTGAGATTCCCACATAATTATTTTAATAGATCAACAAAATTATACTTCTAAATTTGTATTTACGTAAATTTTTAATTAAATACTTCAGCAAAATGCTTTCCATATATTATATTGTTAAGAAAGAATTGATTTAATATCCACATTTCTCAAATTAAATAGTTTAATATTGTTCATAATATACAAATACTACAATAATATGTACAATAATATTGGTTATAAGTTCATAATATATTGTACAATTAATTAGATGTCAGCCAAGTATTAAAATAATTTAAATATGTATATTTACCTGATATATTTTTTAACATTATATTTTTTAATTCTTCGTTAAATTTAAGATTGAGGGATAGAATTTTAAATTGCTGCAAAGATTTTATCTAACAATGAGATTGAATTTTGTACTATTTGAATTTAACAATTTATTCTTTTTTAATGCAATATAACATTTCTTATTTTATCTTTCTAAATGTTTATTTATTCATCATTTTACTTCTTTCATATATACAGGATATCATCTTTTTGTTCGCGGAAAACTGTAGACAGTGAAGAGAAACGCACTATAATATAATAATCCTGGCAAGCCGACAGGTCGACCGTTCTTTGATTGGCGCGTGAATGGTTGTGCACGCAGCTTCCTAATGAGCGGTTAGTTAATTGCTGGTGGTAATGGAGCGGCAGGAGAGAAAGGAGTCCGATAAAGAGCCACTGCCATAGGGTGACGACGCGGTGCGACACAATTCAATTTAATAAACTGCGAGGCGAGCAATAATTCCGCGTCGTAGAGGCACGTGGGACACGCACGTAAGCAAAACCAGCGCCGGCTAGCGCGCGCCTGGTACCAGGGGTTAAAAGGTGATCGGAGCCATGCGGTTGATTTTAATTAAAACGGATCCCAGATAGAATGCGTGCTTGCACCTGCGTGCAAACATCGGCGAAACGAAATCGAAGGTATCTATAAAAGGAAGGTATTTACATTAACAGGTTTATCCTAATAAAGATGTATTGTATGATACTTACGAAAAATATACTTCAAAGTTACATAGGAATCTTGTATTTAAGAGAAAAGTTAACGATATAAAGTATCAGATAAATAAATATTTATGTCAGTTAATTATCAGATATTAAATTCATTAAAATATTACATCGGAAAGAATTCTCATAATAGGTACTTGATAATTCCGAAATATACGATTTAAATTATTTTCTTGAATTCCGATGAGATGCGTAATTAATTAATAATTAAATGTGCGATTTCTCTATCACAAATTCATGTGAAATTACAATAAATGACGATGGAATCCGCGCGGATAGAAACTTTAATGATGTAAGAAAACGCGCGTAAGGATTATGTACATTTTGCTGAAGGCTTGAGGTTTAGGTGTAGCAAAGTCGATTATTACGATCGATGGCACGACGTGTATATAGATAAATAGTTAGCGTAGCTAAGTCAGCAATTTATATCGTAACAGAACGCCCGCTGTGCACGAACTTTCGAATCAAGATAAAGAGGTGATTTTGCCCGCCGTGATTCGTAAGTCAATCGCGAGAGTTTACTAATATTCTCATTCTCTCCTGTGTAAGAATCTTTTCTGTAGAGGTATCCGTCCCGTCGTCGAAATAGAGGACGCGATATTGGTAACACGAATAATCGCGTAGGAGAAAAGCGTGAGTCTTCGCCGTGAACTATAAAGAATAAATCATCGAACGCGTCTTTCGGCGCATGATATCGAGATTAAATGATAACTCTTACAAATCTAGTAAAACAGATTAAGAAATTTTGATGAAACATAAATATTTCATGCAATTATTGATAATTAATTAATATCCAATTTTAATAATTATTGAAAAAAAGATTAAGTATTTAATACATTCAAGCCAGTTTTATTTCAACATACGTTAATAATAATTATAATAATATAAAGTATGATTTAGGATTTAAGATCGATATGCATTCGGCAACTCTTCCCTATATCTTGATGATTAAGTTGATATTAATTATATTTAAAAATCATTTAATCTCTGTACTTGTACAGAGTACAAAGTACCTACTTTTCATTTTAATATATAATGCGCAAAATTATGATCATAATGAAGATTAAAGTTATTATCACGACTCCTAAACTAACGATCGTGACTTCGGCTTCTCTTCGATGTTAAATGAGAAAATAAGCTCAAAGAGAGATCAAAGACGATTCATGCTCGTACTAAATCTACAAGCCCTTTACATCTTTAAAGCTTAAGCTCCTTGGTGCTCGACGTCGTTGTCGCTGCCGTTAGTCCTGTCGTTGCCGATGTCGTTGTCGTCGATATTAGCAAAAAACGAAGAAGGAAGAGAGGAAAAAAAAAAGATGGAAAAAGAGCCGGGTCGCCATAACTACAAATTGCATCGTTACACGCAAATTACGCGATTATTCTGTGCGAGCCAACCACCGAGCGACCATACGGTATATGTGAGCTCTCTGTGGTAGCACGAGAGCATCGAAGGAAAAGAGATGGAGAGAGCAAGAAACACCAAGCGAATACAACGAAGATGAGAGAAGAGGAAGAAAGGGAGAGAAAGAGAGAAAGCCTGCGCGCGGGCAGCACAACTATCGTTTATACTTTCAGATTGCAGCTTGCGAGCTCGCCGCGAGCTCAAATTGCTCGCGTCATTGAATTTTCATTGCTCGGGCTATTCCTTCGTGGCATAGCACGACGCGTTTCTGAGTGCCAACTCTCGACAGGACAAATCCTTGTGATCATCGATATGGAGAGAACCGACAGATATGCCTTCGTTCTTAATCCTTTCAGACGAAACGATGTTGTACGGCATCGTTCTCTCTCTCCATCGCGAATCAAAGTATTTGGATATCTAAGATACACACACATTGCTTTTTAGAAAGATCCTGTTTCAGAAGCGACTTGAAATTTAAATTTAATTATGCTCTGTAGTAAAATAAATTAATCTAAAGATTATATTCTACAGTATTCTATAATATTTCTAGTATTTTATATAAAGTTTTGTAAATAGTAACTTAGTAAGTACATCTATTCCAGTATCATTGCAGGATATATTATACGTTGTGTGACACAGCACGCAACGAATGATTTTGCTGAAATATCTAAAATTTAAGTATAAAATACAGAATCTGAAAATAATTTTGTTGGATCATCCAAATAATTATGTAGAAAATTCATATAACAAACAATATTGTAAGAAAGTTTGACATTCTAACAATCAGTTTAAGCATTCTACATAATTATTTTTAGATTTGTGTATCTAGTTAAATTTTTAAATACTTCAACAAAACCATTCTTTCTATATGAGTACTGGTATCAAAAATTTACTATTGGAAAATTCTAAATAATTTCTTTGCCACTTTTCTTTGGTTCCTTTGCCTAAATCTACGGATTTTATTGGCTATAAAGTATCTAAAGATAAACTTAAGGAAGGCTTAAATGTAAGGCCTAAAATACTATAAATACAGGCATAAGTCACTGAAATATTCGATTCTCTTAATTAAAGTCCTGTTTGTGACGA